TGTGAGTTTGTCGGCTCTCCGACCGGTGACCACAACACTGGCACCCGATTGGGCGAAATGGACAGCAGTGGCCGCACCGATACCCGAACCCGAGCCCGTGATTAACACCACTCGACCCGTAAAATCAAATTTAACAGACATTGGATTTATTTGAATTTTAAAAATAAAAGTTGTAAAAACTTTTATTAATGCAATAAAACACTAATTTAATAGTGTTTATATACTCGAATAATATGTGTATTAACTAAAACGTCCATTTTCATTCAATCAAGACACTTTTAAGGTCAATACCAGATTTCATTGATACAGCAAATTAATATAAAAATTGGAAAAATCTATTTTCTAATCATTTATATCTCCCAAAATTCCCAGTTTCAGGGTGGGAATATAAAAATGTTCACAAAATTGTATTTTTAAATATTAATTAGTTCTCTCCACAGTAACTTTTATACTTGTTTTTTGTATTTTTATATTTGTCAATTATTATTCTTGTTATTTTATTATGTTTAATGAATTTAAAATAAAAAATTTATTTTATCTATATTAATCGCATTTAATTGTATATTTATGACATTAATTAGATTTTGATTTTTGTATATAAACGCAGATTTTCCTTAAAAATTAATTATTAAAAGTTTATAAAATTTTGCATTATTTTTGGTAATTCTTTTCATCGTTTTTTGTAGACAAATATTGCCCTAAGTTTTTAGATTCATTTTGAGTTTGACCATACAATTGATATTTCTGCAAAAGTACACATTTCATAACAATATTAATTAAATTATTAAATAATATTGCAAATTATTACAAATAAATAAGTATCATGATAGAAATCATTGTAATAATTGAGTACTAAACTTTTTGTTGTATACTTTTATAACAAGATTAGCAGTAATTACCAAATATTAATTAAAATGGATATGAAACCAACTGTTTACCATAATGCTAATATTGCTCACAGACTCTTTGCTGATAAACTAATTAAACATATTTTGGAAATCACTGGAAATACTGCGTGAGTAATATATTGTAAATATTTTAAAATAAAAACATTTGATTATTATTTCTAGATATTTTGATACAATTCTGGACATCGGTTCGGGTTCGGGAAATGTGACCGAAGTTTTGGCCGAAAGCATAAAACACCGACAAATTATTGGTTTAGATATCGACCCAAAAATGATTGACTTTTCGATACAAAACAATACAAAACCGTCAATTGATTATCGATTGGAAGACATAAGCAAACCGTGGGATGAGTTGAGCGCCGATATCCGAGCGCTGGAGGGAAAGGTGTCTCTCGTGTTCTCGAACTCCACTTTAATGATGATCCAAAACAGGTCCACATTTGTTCACAATTTGCGCCGACTTATGGCCGACAATAGCTATGCCTTCACATCGTTTGTATTGATTCATAACTTTACAACTAAACTCTCACCGGAAGAGAAGTCTGAATGCGAGAAATGGATAAAAATACCCGATTATGACAAACAGGTGTCCAATTGGACGGATGTGTTCACCAAACAAGGATTCACTATAGAGTTGACTGAAAAGAATCATAATTACATTATAAATGACACTTCACTTATTGAGCGTAAGAATACAAATAAAACAAATTTGATATAATTAAAGATCAATTAATATTTACAAATATTTATTATATTATAAATACAATAAATTGTCTAAAGAGGTAATACCACTGATGGAAACATTTCACAGCTATTATCACGTGAATGGCTTGACTACGGCTGACATTCCTCCGCATTTAAGGCGCCGTTTTCAGGACCTGTCGGCCGACCAGTGGTGGAACTCCCGGAGCGAAGAACTCGACCCTACGATCATTTCGCGGGCGTTGAACGGAGAGTTAGGCGAGTCGTGTGAATTCAATTACAAACCCGCATATATTATATGCAGGAAAACATTTTGATTGTTATTAATTAATGATTTGCTTTATTCTTGTGAATGGGTTTTAATAAATTTTAATGATTTGTTTGCGATTTTTGTAATTAAAATTTCTATTTTGAATAAATGATTTGTTTTTAATGCATAAAATACTTTAGTTTTTATTGCAAACAAAATACAAATTAATTATTAAACGTTAAATAAAGTATAATATAATTAAATAATTAAATTTTAAAATAATGTAAAATAAGAGAAAGTTTTGAGACTATTGAGTGCCAGAAATAACTGAAAAACTGCTGTCAGATTGTGATGGAGAATGAATGGCACTTCTTTGGGAACCATTGGATGTGATGGTCGACAGAGAGAGGATATGACCGCTCAGACCATCGCTCACTCGCGAGACATCACTTCTTTGCGAATCAATTGATACGTCGGATGTGTTGTCCTCGAAATCTGTCGGCCCTTCACTACCACTACTTCTGTCCGACTCTTCAGGTGTTTCCGACTCTTCGTCTGACTCTTGAGTGTCCATTGAATCCAATGCTGTTTCGTATGACTTACGCGAAGACAGACTCATCTCTGGATCGACGAACACATCCTCTGAATTTGAATTGTCTTCCGCTTCATAGACCGTGTCGTCAATCACTGTTTCATCATCTGATCCCTCGTCTGCCGCTTGTCCGCCAGTATTGGCGTTCATCTGATCCATGACTGCATCGTAGCCTTCATTGAGTATACGTTTTGCCAAATCATACCTTCGCTGACAATCCATGTCTGCAATGATGTCCACCAAATGAATGACACTTTGCTTATGCATTGTCTCCAATATATTGATCCAAAGAGTTGTCCAACCGTTCACTTCGAAGAGTTTGGGACCAATTGTTTCAATCAATTGTAACATCACTTCCTTTGAACTCATGTTTGAATTCATTTCACCATAAAATCAATCAATACTTCAATTGATCTCAAATTCTTCGAAACCAAAAGTAATGAAAACCAAAATATAGTGAATGTGTAGAAGAGTTACGGTTTGTAACGGTTTTCACATAAAGTACTACTAATTGTGTGCAAAGCTATACAACTTGTATAATACAAGTGCTCTACTCTTTGGATGTTATGGCAGATATTTTATTCAAAGAATCACTTCATTTGATCCCAAAATTGTCAATGAATTAAAAAATGACTGTTTTTTCAAACGGTTTTTATTTTACAGAAATTTCTAGAAATGATTACAAATTTGGAAAAGAATTCTTTTGTCTTCTTCGAGACCAGAGCTGAGGTCATGTCTTCACTCTTCGTCGCCACCCTTTCGAGAGCGTCTTCTGCGGCGTCGACGGCCTCCACGACCGGATCGACTGCGAGATCGTCTTCCGCCGCGTCTTCGGCGACGTCTCCGACCGCACGACTCGTCGTCTCCTCCTTTGGATTTCCTTCTTCGGCGACGCCTCGACTCCT